GGGGGGGGGGGGGGGGGGGGGGGGGGGGGGGGGGGGGATGGCTAGAGAGGGAGAGGAAAATGAACAAAATGGTAAAGAGGGACAGATGGAGGAGAAGGAGGGGGAAAATGAGAAACGAGAAGAGATGTGGGAGAGAGAGGGAAGGAAGGTGGAGAGAGATACAGAAAGAGAGACAGAGAGAAGAGAGAGAGAGGAAGAAAAAAGGAGACGGAGAAGAAGTGAGATAGATGGAAAAGAGGAGAAAATGAGAGAGATGGGAGCAGAAGAGTAGAGAGACAGGGAGAAGAAAAGAAAGAGGGAGAGATGGGACAGAGAGAAGAGAATGGGAGAAGACAGAAAGAGAGGGAGAGATGAGAAAGAAAGGAGGAAAGAGATGAGAGAGAAAGATGGGAGAGAGAACTAGGGAGGTAAAGGTAGGGATGGCCAGAGACCTGGGGAGAAGTGAAGGGACAGGCACAGAGATAGGGAGGGGCAGAAGCAGAAATGGGCAAAGGCAGAGCTGGGGAGAGAGAAGTGGGCAAAAGCGGAGAGGCGAAAAGAGGGGGAGGAGACAAGAGGGGAGGGGAGGGAGTCCTCAGTCCTGGGGGCCGGGGAGGGGGCGGGATGGGGGGCAGAAGGGCCCGGCGAGCCGGGACCCTGTTGGTTTGGCTGAGCTGCGCTGTGAGGAGGCTCTAGGCACCTGCCGAAAAGTGGGGGCCCTGGGAAGGGGTGTTACCGTGACGACCAAGAGGGCGGGACTTCCTCTTAAAGGTGCCCCCAGCCCCGCAGGCAGTCTCTGCATGTCTGTCCCTCTCACACCCCCACAGGCCAACCCTAGCTCCCCTTCCCAGTTCCCGAAAAATCCCTGTCTGACTCAGTCTCTCCCCATCCCGCCTGGACCGTCTTCATCTCCATCATCTTCCTCCTTGACTTCCTCTCTCTCCTTCCTCCCCTCCCTCTCCCCCTCCCTCTCCCTCTTCCTCCCTCTCTCTTGCTTCTGTCTCCCTGTCTCCCACTCATTCTTCTTCACTATCTCTGGGTCTCTGTCTCAGTGTTTTTATCTCTATCTCTGTCTCTGTCTCTGTTTCTGTCTCTATGTCTCTGTCTCTGCTCTCCCGGCCCCGCCCCCGTTGCCCTGGGCATCAATTCGCCGCCGCTCACTGCCCGAAGCCGAAGCAACGTGATGCATTGTGGAAAACGTAGTCCAGCTCCAGCCTCGGCGGGCGCCTAGGGAGGAGTTGGGAACTACAACCCCCAGCATGCCTCGCGACAGCTCGGCCTCCCACCACCCCCTCACCATAGCTTCTGATACACTCTCAGCCAGGAGCCAGAGCCCATCCTCACTCATCCCCACCCAGTTCCTGCCTGGGTCTCGGGAGGAGGACACCCCACCCCGACCCACCAGGGGTTCTCTGGCCCCAGGCTTGCCTCTCTCGGTCTCTCTGCTCCAGCCTCTGTCCTGGGATCGCAAAGTGTCAGCTGGGACCTTGAAAACCACTTGCTTCCTAACTTGACAGAACAGTAAACTGAGGCTTAGAGGAGTCAAGGACTTGCTCAGAGCCGCCCAGGCTGCATAAATGGCAGAGCCTGGGTACTCCAACTACAAGCCTACTGTCAGTACGCGAGCAGTTTTGGTCTCTCTACTTCTCAGCGTCTGTCTCTCCATCTCAGTTTCCCCGAATGTCCAGTCTTTGTCTCTTTCGCTCTCGGGGTCTCAGAGTACCCCTCGTGGGGCTCGCAGAGTCTCCTAGAGGCTCCATCTGTCTCTTTCCAGCCTCCTTACATCTTACACCTTACCTATCCCACCCCGCCCCCCACCCCATACTCTTCCATCCAGTGACACCGGCTTAGTGACTGTATCGGAACAAGATCCTCTATCAATCTACTCTGGGCATTCTCTGGCTGCCTCCACCCCCCCGCCTGGAACGTTCTCCTCCCCCCATCTCCATTTTCTGGCTTCTTTCAGGTCCCAACTAAACCCCACCTTTTTTTAAAAAAATTTATTCATTTTGATTTACCAATAATCACTTCCATAAGCTTTTGAGTTTTAAATTTTTCTCCCTCTCCTTCCCCGCCTCCCTCCCCAAGATGGCGCACAATCTGATATATGCTATACATATACATTCCTATTAAACACATTTTCACATTAGTGGTGTTGTAAGGAAGAATTAGGAGGAACCATAAGTGAGGGGGAAAAAAAAACAACAAGAAACGAAATAGCAAATAGTATGCTTCGATCTGCATTCAAACTCCGTAGTTCTTTCTTTGGATGTGGATAGCATTTTCCATCATGAGACCTTTGGAGATGTCTCAGATCCTTGCATTGCTGAGAAGGGCTAAATCTATCAACATTAGTCATTGCACGACGTGGTAAAGCCCATCTTCTACAAGAAGCCTTTCCCAATTCTTCCTCATTATGGTGCCTTCCCACTGGTGGGAAGAGAAATCTCCAATTTATCTTTCTAGATCGTTTGTATCTAGTTGTTTGGTTGTTGTTCGCACAGACACGCTAGATTGGGAGCTCCTTGAGGGCAGGGGACTGTCTTTTGCCTTTCTTTGTGTCCCCACCGCTTAGTACAGCGCCTGGCACATAGCAGGAGTTTAATAAAGGCTTCTTGACAGACTCCAGAAATTTGTCTCCCGAAGTCTCTGTGGGTCTGTGTCTCTGTTCCTCCCAGTCTCCTTCATGCCTCTAGGGTCCAGTCCCTATTTGGTCTCTGGATCTGTCTTTATTAAGTCTTTCGAGGCCTCAGACTGTCCCTGGTGACTCTGAGTCTTCTCTCTGTACTGATTCTCTGGCTCCCTGGCGCGCGGTTCTTGTTCAAGGTCCAGAGGTGGCAGAGAAGCCGCTCAATCCGACCCTGCCTCTCCAGCCAGGACCAGTCAGCTCCCAGCTTCTTCCACCTGCCTCTCTACCCCACCCTTCATCTCCCTGAGGCCCCTCCCAATGGCCTGGGCACTGGTTAATGTCTAACTTCCCCCTTCCCGCCTCTCTTTTCCTTCCTCCTCCTCCAAGGTTTAAGCCGGGCTCCCCACTCCCTGCTGGCTGGTCACCAAGGCACATGGCCTTCTTCCGGAATCCTCTCGGTGTTTATTAGTTCTCTCCAGGGGTTCTAGCCCCTCTTCCAGGCCACAGGGCGTTTCAGGCCCCCCAGTTTCCTTCCATTTCTCCTGCCTTTCTACTGGGGAGAGCTTGCTAACAGGGCGGGATGCTGGCCTTGGAATCCTCCCCACCCCCTACACTAGACCATAGGCAAGTCCCTTTAGGCTCTCAGAGGCTGTTTCCTCAGCTGTAAAATGAATGTAGCCACAGCTTGCACTATGCGCCCCACAGGCTGTCTCAAAGGAGAGCCTCCTCAGAAGGCTTTATTAGTCAAGCTTTGGGTCATGTCAGCTTTGGTCAGTCCTCTGGGCGCCTCAAGGCCTGGGAGGCTGGAGAACCGGATGGTCAGGGCTAGCCCTGACCTGCCCTAGGTTGGAGTCAAGTGATCCACCTCTTAGGCCTCTCTAGCTTTGCATTCCATGATGGTCCGGAGTCTGTGGTGATGACACACTTTTCTAGTGTTTCCTGGCAAACAGAGCTTTCTCCAGAAGAACCACCCACCGAGGGACATGGGGCCAATGAGGATTCACTCCATTTTACAGATGAGATTGAGACTCAGAGAGAGGAGGAGTGACTTACATAGGGTCACCCAACTACTAAGAGTCAGAGGCGGGATCCAAACTCAGAGCTCCAGGTGTCTCAGGTCTCATAACTTCTCCAAGGAAGAGTCAGGGACTCCTGTGTGGGGGTGGTGAAAAGAGCCGAGGCCTGGGAATCAGGGAACCTAAGGGTCAAGTCTGAACTCTCTGGGAGACAATGAGTAAATCCCTTCAGCTCTGTTCGACTGTTTCCCCACCCTTAAAACAAAGAGATTGGACCTTTAGAGTCAAAAGACCTGAGCTCAAATCCCTGAGCTCTCCTACTACCTCAACAAGTTTGGGTAAGTTCCTTCCCTTCTCTGGATCTCTAGTTTCCTCATTTGTAAAATGAGGAAGTAGGATTGGTGACCTCTGGGTTTCGTCCACTGTAGAGCTGCAATCCTGTGGCTTAGATAAATCAGCCCTTCATAGTCCCCCTTTCAAGTTTGCAAAGCACATTATACCTATTATACTATCTCATCTGATCCTCACAGCCACCCTGGGAAGTAGGTGCTATTATCATCCTCATTTTGCAGATGAGAAAATCAAGAAGGCTCAAAAAAGGTTAACTATCTGCCCAGGGTTATACAGCTAGTAAATGTATGAAACAGGATTGGAATTCACTTTATGCCCTATGACACCTGCCTAGGTAATCACAGGTTTTAGAGCTGGAAGACTCTTCATTTCAGTCCCATGAGACTGCCCCACCCCACCCCCATTTTGAAGATGAGAAAACTGAGGAGGCCCAGACTGGCAAAAAAATGAGGGTACTTGGGAAGAGTCCAGGACCAGGACCCACGTTCAGGGCTCTTTCCCAAGCACAGGAATAGCTGACCCCTCCAGTTTCATATCTATTACATCCTCCCCACCCCCAACTTCCTATCTTCTCAACAACCAAGAAATGATGGTCTCCTCTCACCCCCAATGCCTATGAGACTCAGGAGTCTGGGTACTGCATGACACTATTCTCCCCTCCTCTCCTCAAAAATAATAAAAAACCCACCAAAATAGACACTTCATATGTGGTCTTTATATTGAGGTAAAAAAAAAATGTTGACACTAACATCAGATGTGTGTGTGGGGTGGGGGGAAGCATAGTAATACAGCATCATATCCAATACAGCTCAACATAATCTCCCCAGAGAAAGCAATGCGGGGTGCTCAGAATCGGCAGCAAACACACACACACACACCCACACACACACACACAGAGCAACAGAGAGGAGGAGGTTGGGAAGAAAACATTTGCTCCCTTCTCTCTGGTCCTCCAAATCCCTCCCACCCGCCTGTTAGTCTTAAGGAAAGCCACCACCATTGGTGTTTCTGGGTCAGGCAGCCTTTGCCTTCACTCTCAGTCTTGACTGACATTCCGATACCAGAAAGGTCCAAGGCAGATGGGGTGGTGCTCACTGTCCTCCATTCCCTTTCCCCAGGTTGCCAGGAAGAGCTGTCGAAGGTGTTGTGATAATGGAAACCAAGGCAGAGCAGGGCTTGAGGACTTCATCGTCCCACTGAGAACTTTAGACACCTCCCGAGATACATTTTTCACTTGGAAGAGGAGGTGCATTTGGCACAGAGAGGCTGCCCCCACCGCCTCCAGTCAGGCAGGAAGAGGATGAAGAAGGAGGCCACCACCTTCCCCAGTTCTCCCGACATTCACACAGACTAAGGCACACAGGATTGGGTGGGGAGGGGAGCAAACCAACATGCTTTGGCAGTGGAAACCCATGGTCCTGGGAGGGGGTTGATGTGTGGCCAAGTAACCCTGGAATAGCTGCTGGGAATTGGGCCAGGGGTAAGAAGCTCAGCACTTTAGAGGGGAGCTGGGACAGGCAGAAGGGCAGGAGAAAGGAGGAGAGAGAGAGGAGGCCAAGAGCTGGTGGGAAAGAAGGAAATACAGACAGTGAGAAAAGCAGGCAAAGGGACTCCGGAAAGGAGAGAGGAGGAGACCGGGGATGGAGAGGCTGGCAGGCTGCTGCCCACTCACACCCTGATGAAGACCAGCCGGGCCGAGTGCACCAGGTCGGCCACGTAGGCCAGGAAGTTGACTGCCGTGAGGATGGCCACGGTCAGTCGCCTATCCCAGTCACACACAGTCGAAGCATGGCGGCTGGGGCAGCCCAAATCATCCCGCCTCCGCGGCCGGCCACCCTTCCTCTCATCGAACTGATAGAGGGGCCAGAGCACCAGGGCTGAGGCGTAGAGAGCCACCGCCAACATGGCCAGGCCTGTGAGGAAACTAGGGAATGAGATGGGCAACTGGCCTGTGCAGTCACCCAGGCTCAGGAGGATGGCCACGGCAGACAGGATGAAGCAGATACAGTAGACCGCCAGACACCATTCCAGGGCGGAGTGACGCTGGTAGATGGGTGGGTCACTGGCAAAGGCAAAGATGATACAGGCTACAAAAGTCTCAAAGACCTTGAGGAGGCCAGGGACAGTGGCCATGTAGCCTGTGACCTCCCCGGGCCGGGCTCTGGTCCAGGCCACCTCGGTGGCATAGGCGAGGCAGGCCACACAGGAGAAGAAGGTGGCTGCAATGGCATGGTCTCGTTTTTGGCCCTGGGGCATGAACTGGACATAGGTGGTGGGGTAGATGATGGAAGCTGAGAGGCAGAGCAGGGTGGCATAACAGGCATAGGCGATTGGGAAATTTCGCCAGGAGAGTGGGAATCGGGGTTGGAAGCCACCCACCTCCACCACCAGAATGACCAGTGTCATGGCAAAGCAAAAACACCAGGCAAACATGGCCCAGTGGCCCATGGCCCCATCCCAGGCACCCACATGGACCACTAGAGAGAAGGCCACGCAGGTGGACACCAGTTGCAGAAGGCGCAGGAGGCCTAGCTTGGATGTTAGTGCCCGAGGAGAGCCCACTATGGTGGGTGAGCCCACGCCAGAAGAGGTGGTGGTAGTGGTCACGGTGGTTCGAGTGATGGTCACTGGCATGACTGAGGGAAGAGGAGGCCAAGAGGCTAATTAGAGAAAAGCTTGACTAGTCTAGGCTCCAGTCTCAAAGTGCCTGAGAGACTTGGTCAGCCAAGCTCCTCCCTCACAGCACTAGATACCCAGAGTACCACAGGGGTCCCACCCTCTAGGGAGCAAACATTCACGGAGGAGACCCACCCTGCCTCCTGGGCCTAGAATCTGTTTGGCAGTTACCCCTCCCCTTTGGCCCAGAAAGTCCCTAAATTAATCTCCTGACTAGGGGCATGTGCAAACCCAGAGTCCCACCCTAATCCACCCTAATCCACCCTAATAGGTGCCTGGTGCACCCCTACCTGAAACCTCTGGTCACACTCCTTTCTGGGAAGGGGGGGTCGAACAGGTCTTTGTCCTGCTATTCTGAGAAGCCAGAAGGAGAGGAGGGAGAGAGAGAAGGAAGGAGGAGGGAGGAGGAAAGAGAGATGGGGACAGAGAGAGAGAATATCACCTTCTGGACATGGCCACTTCATTAAGACCACCGCCCCAAATTTGCCCACAAAGCCACGGACTCAGGTATCTGGAGCTGGTTCCCAAAGCCCCTCCTCCACCTTACCAAAAAGAGGGGAACCTGCCCGCGCCGCGTGTGTAGAGGTGCTCGGCTTTAGGCCGCTTAGCCGGGAAAGGAAAAGGGTGTGACGCCTTCTAGGGCGTAGGCCTGGGTCAGCTGGGACCAGGAGGAGTTCATATCCCAGAAGCGAGCAGCCGAGACAGACAGGGGACTGCGGGGGCTGCAGGAGAGGCCTGACAGCCAGCAGCCGGAGCTCGCCTTATAAGGTACTTGGCCTGTCTCAGGCCAAGGAATGTGGCTGGGATGTCGGGGCGGCGCCCCTGCCGCCCTTCCCCCTCCTCAGGGTTGGGGACGGGATCCCAGCTGCAAGGTGCTGGGCCCAGGATGCCGGGGTCCCCGAGATGGATTGGGGCGGGGCCGGACGCCCGAGTTCCTTGTATCGGAGTCAGATTACTCGCGGAGGCTTACCACCACGCCTGCCGGAAACCCACACTGGCACTGAGAGCAGAGGCTCCTTGAAGAGCGTAAGCGTCCACTCCACTCCCACTCCCCACCCCCGCCGAGGGTGAGGAGTGGGGTGGCGGCATCCCCTTCCCCTCCCACGTGCCCCTCTGGGATTCGTGCCTTGGTCACCAAGACCTGGACGCTGGGGTCCGCCCCCTCCCCATCGGTTATTTGGAAGGCCGAGGAGGACGTGAGCTAGGAGTCCCAGACAGCGGGGGAGGGGGGGGGAGGCACTGCCACCGCCTGAGGTCATGGCTCTGGAATGCACAGCTGGAAGGAAAGGAGACCCGGAGAGTAGAGGGGAACGCCCCTTAACCCCTTCAAGTCCAGGGCTTCCCCAGCCACGCCTTGGGATTCCGAAGTCCGTTACTTTAGCTTCTTTTCCAGATCTCTAACCCCCAGCTTCCATCCCCTTCTACTTAGCCAGGCATCTCAGAGTCCACTCATCACCTAAGGGACCCAGTGGTCCAGCTCTCCCAGCTTGCACGTTAGCCTTCAACCCGCTAAAAGACATATAACCCCTTCAGGGTTCCATTCTCCCTACCCATCAGGGATCCAGGCACTCGACCTCTTAAGCGGTCCCGGACCTGTCTGAGACACAGTTGTCCGTCCCCATCTGCCACAGAGCCCCAAGCGCCCGTCGTCCCAGGCCTCTAAAGAACCCAGTTCCCCAAAGCTTGGACCCTTGGACCGGAGCCCGGGCCCTGCTCCCTGGGCGGCTCACCTCGCGGTCTGCAGGCTTCGTCCTGGGTAGTTGCGGTGAGTGTTGATGAACCTGGGTCTGGGGCTGTGGTGGGGAGGAAGGGAGGGAGTGAGACAGAGGAGACCTCTTGGGGCGGGGCCCAAGACGGAGGCGGGACTGGACCCCGGAGCCCAGCCCTGAAACTTACTAGGCGAGTACCCACCGGGGCTTTCCCAGACCCTCCCCGCGGGCGGGGCCAGGCCAGAGAGGCTCTCCTATGGGGACACTGAGGCAAAATAAGAATCTCCAGTCTCCACCCCTCAGAGACCCTCCAATGTCCTTGTCGCTGTAACCGCCCACCCCACCCCCACCAGGCGTCTCCCCCAGCCCAGGCCTGGGAGGGAAGGGGGAGGCTGAGGTCACTGTTTCCATGGTGACGCCAAACAGGAAGCGACAACAGAAGGAGAAGATGGGGGGGAGGGGTCCTCCGGTCCGGAACGTTGGGGTTGGGGAGGAGGGAGAAGGCCGTTGCTATGGCAACAGGCGTATTTGTTCCTTATTTGGGGATGATGTCCCCCCACTAGTCCTTTACTACACATCCGGTCCCATCCTCCGAGAGCCTAAGGGCTAAAGACCAGACATCCTGGAGACACCTGGGTCCCAGAGAAAAGGAAGCCGAGACTAGGAGAGGCTGGAGGTCGGTCCAGAGGCCCAAGCCTCAGGATGCCTGAGCTCTACCAAAAGAGATGCAGGGGCCCCGGACCTTGGGATGCAAGGCCTTAGGGCCTGGGTATCCAAGCGGCTGCCCCAGCTGGTCGAACCCGACAACCTAGTTCCGGAGAAAGGGGGAATGGGGAGATCGCGTCTGGGTCCCGAGAAGGGTGAGGCTTGTAGAGCCGGCCACCTGGGGCCCGGGGAAAAGGGAGATGGGGAGATCGATCGCGCCTGGGTGCCGGACAAGGGTGGCAGCTTGTAGAGGCCGACACCTGGGTCCTGGAGAAGGGCGGAGCTTAGGGGCTGGACTCCAGGATCCTCCCAGACAGGAGCAGGGGTGGGCTGGGCTGGGCTACCGGAGGCCTGCCCTCCCTTCCCCAATCCCAGTCACTCACAGCGGTGTCTCGAGGTCCCAGGTCTGGGCTTCACTTTGGGCCTGCTGGGAGGGGGGCTGCGGCTGGAGCAGTAGTGCTGAGACCAGTGGAGCCGACTGGGAGACAGGGCCCAGACAGACTCCGCCTCTCCCTACTTCCCCTGTCCTCCCCTCCCCTCCACTCACCTCGGCCAAGGCTGCAAAGGTTTCAGTGAGTGTCTTTCCCTTCCTGGCCTGGCAGAGCAGGGTCGTACAGCAGATGTCTAGAGTCTGGGGCCCAGGGCAGAGCTTGAGGGGCTGCAGAGAAGCAGAATACTGATGGTGATGCGGTAAGGGGCGGGGAGGGGAGGCGAGAGAAGGAACGAGGGGGGAAGGAAGCAGATAATATCTGGGGAAGCAGGGGCTCACATTTCCTGTGGCCTCAGCACCTCCTAGTCGGGACTCGTGGCCCCCAAAACACATATACCCACAAGATTCAGGCAGGCACCCAGAGACATGCTACAAGGACCCACATTGAGAATCTGAGGATCCAGAGCCCACACTCCCGAGGTGCCCCTTTAAAAGCCCGTGTGGATACCTTGGAAGTTCCTTTGGCTGAATAAAGGGTTGTTCAGCTCCTCTGGTACCACCTGTCCCTTCAAACACCTCAGTAAAAGCCACACATTGAGAACCTGAGTTCAAATCCAACCCCAGACACTTTACTAGCTGTGTGACCCTGGGCAAGTCACTTAATGCCACTTGCCTTGCAAAAACAAACAAAACAAAAACAAATAAAAGTCATGCATTTCTCCCATAACTGAGGCCTCGGGGTTTCTTGAGCCCTTATTTCTTAGTTGAAGTCCATCAGTTGCACAGTCTCAGGTGCCTTGAACACTCCTGCACAACCAGAGGAGGAAACAACTCAGATCTCCCACCAAGCTTCCCAGGGCAAACCAATGGCCGGGTCCTGTCCCTTCTACTCCTACACCCAGCTCTCCAATTTTTTCTCATCTCCTTTTCTTTGACAGGGCCACTCTGGCCCTCAGTGCGCATCTCCCTCATGCCTGGACTGTTGAGTTAGGGAAGGCTGCCCACCACCAATGAGCCTGTCCTTGGCTAGTCTACTGTTAACAATGGCTGCCAAAGTGACCAAAGTCCCCAGGCGCTCGTGTAACCTCATCACTCCCCTGCTTAAGAAGCTCCATACTCGCTGTTACCCTGGGACCAAATATTGTCTCCCAAGTTTGACGTTTAGAGCCTTTCACAACTTGACTGTAAGTCTTTTATTCCAGATTTATGGAAGGAAGGGAGGAAGGAAAGGATTTATTAAACACTATGTGCAATGCACAGTTTTAAGTGTGCATTGATACAAATTGAAAAGTAAAATCTGCCCTCAAGGTGTTCACATTCTTATGGAAAACAACACATAGGGAAGGTTGAAGGCAAATGGAGAGGTCCCATGATCCAGAGGGTGCAGCAGCAAAGTAGCCAGGAATGGTGGGGGGTTTTCACTTATTTTTTGTTCCATTTTGAGTTTCGAGTTGCCTCCCTTCCTCCAACCCCACATTAGAGAAGTCCAGTATAGACACATGGAGAACCATACAATACATCCTTCATGTAGCACCCTTTCTCTGGATGTGGATACCATCCTCCTTCCCAAGTCCTTCACTGTTGATTTGAACGTCACATTTTTGAGAAGAGCTTCGGTTGTTTGCAGTTACTGTATCCAACTGTCTCTGGGTTCTCTCATTTCATACAAGTCTTTCCATGTGTTTCTTAAAAACCAGCTCATCATTTCTTACAGCACGGTAGTATTCCATCACAACTTAGCCATTTCCCAAGTGACGAGCATCCCCTCCGTTTCTAGCTGTTTGCCACCAACAGAGAGCCATAATACACACACACACACACACACACACACACACACACACACACACACACACACACACACACACAC